CTTCCTCCTCCTCTCTTGTTATTCCATTACCTTAACGACTTCAATAAAGTCTAAGGATGTTGTTTTAAGTTTATACTAATTAGTTTTTGTTAATAACAAGGTTAGGGTCATTAATGATGGGTTTAAAGTTAATTCTAGTGCTAGTGAACCAAGTTTAAGCTAATACAATAGGTTGACATTATTAGTTAAGCTTAATAAGGGTTAAATAAGTTAATGTGAGTTTGGGGTTGATTTTGTTTAATCATGCTTAATGAGAGGTTAAGGCTTTAACAAATGATTAGTCATTGACGTTGTATGTTATTTATTAATTGTATATCAACTACTTTGGAGCTCGTTGTGCTTCTTGGTAATAAAATATTTACCATGATATAAAACACTTCATATATCATTTGAAAACCCCACCATGGTGGAAAGGAGCTTACCATGGTAATAAAAAATTGAAATCATTTCAATATAAATTTACTAGGGTAGAAAAGAATTTTCTCATGCATATAAAGGCAACTCCAAAATTGGACTACCATGGTAAAAAAAAATCTACCATGGTATAAAGGAATGAATGATAACAAATGAATATAATATAATAATTTAGAAGGTAAATAATAACAAAGGACAATGTATATAAAATAAAAGTTAATTAATTTGTATCTAACTAGTTTCCATTAGAATTCAATAGTTTAAAACTCAATAAAATGATAAAAGAGGAATTTAATAACAAACATGGTTTTTGAAAGGCTAATTTGTCCAAAACTTTCAAGGTGAAATTGCCCTTTAATCTTCAACAAAACAATAAATTGATTATAGACATGTTTAGATATCCATAAGAAACAAATTGATCGCAAAAAATTATTAATATGATTGATTTGGAATATATTTGATTGTGTCACATGGTATAATTAATTTATAAACTTGATTAATAAGATTGATTTTAAGAAAAATTGAAAATCAAATAAAATCATACTTTTATGAAAATATATCCAAACTCCTTATTGTATGCCAAAATCAATTATAATTCAAAATTATGGTTTATTAAAAATATCTAAACACCTATTATACATATGAAAATTAATTACGAACAAAAATCATGATTTTTTTAGAAAAATATCCAAACATCTTTATACATGCCAAAATTAATTATGAACCCAAAAATCATGACTATCTCATAAGCTACTATTATCTACTTTTCAGTTCATCTTTTCAAATATACTTCTTTAAATATTTATCAAAAAATTATATAAACTCTATTTTATAAATCATGGTTGAGTATTAGATTTATATATTTTGATAAGTATAATGTGTGACTATATATTTTTATAAAAATTATAATTTTGAGTTCATAATTAATTTTATCGTATAAAAGTGTTTGACTATTGTTTTACAAAATCATGGTTTTGGGATTTAAAATTGATTAAATTAAGTATCCAAGCTCTTAAAGTATAATTAAAAGCAAAATTAAAAATAAAATAAAATACTAACCATCCCTTCTGCCCTTCCCCGTATCCAACCAAACATTAAAAAAAAACACATTAAGTATTTCTTCAGAAATACTAATTCCGTTTGACAATGATTTTAGGGTTTCTGTTGAGTTGTCGGCGAAATCATGGACCTGCAAAGAAAGAGGCATTACCGTGAACCTTCGCCCCCTTCAACCTCGGACTCTCGCAAGAAGCCACTCGCTTGTTCCAGCAGGGCACCTTATCAATACCATGATGGTCAACAAAAGCATCCCGTCTTCGTCTCGTGCCTTGAAGTCCCAAAGCTGCCTACGAAGATCAAGTCACTCTGTGAGATCGTCTCCAAAACTCCTTCCCTGGCTGTCGAGAAAGTCCTCGAAGAGGTTGGGTTTCCGATCACTCAAGAAGACGTCGAAGAGGTCCTCAAATTGTCTTACGAGTTTCCGGGGTCCGCGGTGAAGTTCTTCCGATGGTCGGGGTACCAGCTCAACGACAACCATAGCCCTTACTCTTGGAACCTGGTTGTGGATTTATTGGGCAAGAATCTCTTTTTCGATGCAATGTGGGATGCTATCAAATCTATGAAAAAAGAAGGGCTGCTTTCGCTTGCTACTTTTGCTTCTGTTTTCAGCAGTTACGTTGCCGCGGGCCGTGTTCAGGAGGCGATCATGACTTTTGATGTTATGGAGAAATATGGGTGTCCCCGGGATATTGTTGCCTTAAATTCGCTTCTTAGTGCCATTTGTAGGGAAGGCAGGACCGTGGATGCGTATGACTATTTGCGCATTGCCAAAGGGATTGTGAGGCCAGACCCTGATACTTATGCTATTTTGTTGGAGGGATGGGAGAATGAAAAGAATGTTGCTAGTGCTAGGCATACTTTCGCAGAGATGGTGATAGAGATAGGCTGGGATCCAAGTAATGTGCCCGCTTACGATTCCTTCCTATGTACTTTAATCAGGGAGCCCAATGGCATCCATGAAGCTCTTAAATTCTTTGATTCCATGAGAGATAGGAAGTGTTACCCGGGTTTGAAATTTTTCAAGGTTGCGCTGGATGAGTGTGTCAACTGTCATGATATCCAGGTAGCTGAGATGTTTTGGGAGATAATGGTGGAGAGACTGGGCTTGAAACCCGATTCACATATGTGCAATGCCATGATTGCTTTGTACTGCTACCGAAATGATATAGATATGGGAAAAAGGATGTTAAACGACATGGTTTACAGAGGGGCATTTCCTGATTCATTAACTTATAATTTATTATTTCGCTTCTTGATCGAGAGTGGGAACCTGCGGGAGGCTTCGTTTCTCTTCACTGAGATGATAAAAATGAGTGTATTCCTGACCGGCTTAATTGTGAGACTGCTATAAGAATTTACATAGATAACCGGGATCCTAATATGGCAGCGAGAATTTGGAGATGCCTGGTGGATAATTTCAAGGAGGATCTGGAGGAGACGGCAAATTTATTGGTCATAGGGCTACATGATCTAAATAGAGTACCAGAAGCAGTTAAGTATGCTGAGGATATAATTGACAGAGGAATAAAGCTAACATCTTCCACATTGGCTAAGCTGAAGCAAAGCCTTGTTAAATCAAGAAAAGAATTTGTGTATGAGGGACTTGTGAGAAAGTGGAAGACTCATGGAGCAGTTAGACTTCACTGAAATCATGCTTGTAAAGATCAGTGTTGAAATCTTTGCTTTTCTCTGTTGTACTCAGCCATGTTTGGGCCAAAACTATATGCAGTCATTTTCAAATTTTGCTTAAGTACAGTATTGTTTGGTTATGTTCTCCTCTAGATAAGTATAGTTTTGAGTTGACGCTCTGATGTCAAGACCACTACAAATAAGAGCGATACACTATCTAGTGGTTGGAGATTTTAAGATGGCATTACTGAATAGGTACGATTTGTTTTCTTCTCATTTTGTTCTCTTCTTCCCGATTCAATTTTAATTGTCGACTAAGGAAGAGGAATAGCTAATTCATATTATATGCAACAAGGCATCCTATGGTAGTTGGTCTGTGTTCGTAGAACAAATAACTTATGCTCTGGTATTCTGTATGTTGAAAGGCTTGAAGCTTTTCTTTTTTATTTTTTTGGAGAAATTGACAGATAGGATTAGTGATGGATCCAAAAAAAGTATTTTGTGGGGGAAAAATTTATACACAAGATAAATATTAATATTATTAATAAATTAATTTTACTTTTTTATTAAATTCTATTAAATATAAAATTTATTAGAATTAAATGCTATTAAAGAACTATGCATAAAATATAAAATTACAACAATATAAAAATTATATATCTATTGAAATTTTGATTTTCATTTTAATAAATAAAGGTTAACTCTCTTCAGTTTTCAATGAATAAAAGTGAGTTAAATTAATCAGTCTCATCTAAATTTTTTGTGCCAACAATTAACTCTTTTGTATGATATACATTTTTTTGTAATAAAATTTTCAATTTAAACAATTAAATAAAATTATTTTTTGAACTATTATTCCCTTCTTTTTAAAATTTTGTCTATTTAAGTTAAAACATATAAATAAGACTTTGGCCAAATAAACATTTTAGGAAATTAGTGAAATTTTTAATGGGACCACAAATTTTTCTTTTCTTTTTTGAGGGGTCAGGGGCAAATGAAATTTTTAAATGAGCTTAAATGAAATATTTAGAATCACTATGTGTATTTTTTTAGCTTGCGGGGACAATTGCCCTCCTATATTATAAATAAATCTGTCCCTAGATAGGATTCACAAGATGAGCACTCACAATAGAGGTTTCTGGGTTTCTTGTTTTGAGACAAAGGACAGAGGAGGAGGATAAGAACTTGTGATGGTCGATGAGGAGAGGAGTTGAGGATGGAGGACAAACATGGAGGATTGGGGAGGTGAGCTAGAGATTGGACTAGAGAGTGAAGTTCTCAAACGACGATTAAAAGAAGTGAGTGAGTCGGGCTTTCAACTTTCAAGTGAAATGAGAGAGAGAAGTCAAAAGTATAGTCAAACAAATAGTGATAAAAGTGTGAGTTTTGAGGATTTTCTTTTAAAAATAAATTAAGCATGTTTACCCACTTACTTGCGATCTAATCTACTAAAATCTGACTCATGAGATGTGAGCTAAAACAAGCCTGCATTTACAAAATACCCATTTTTTATCATGGCAGGCACAATTCATATTATCGGCTATACTTAATGTACTCCACCAGTCCTTTGTTGTAATTTTCCCTTTATTTCGGTAAAACAGGGGATATCAAATTTCATCCTCACTGGAGATTGAAAATCCATAGGCTTTTGTTGCCTAATTAACCAAATTCTTGGGAACCAAACTAAAGGATTTTGTTTCTTCTTTCCCCCTTCCTTTCTCAAGCCCAATTCCAGCCCAAAAGAGGCTATGCATGCCGTTGCACAGCGGAAAGAGTTAACAGGAGATGAGGAGACTGCAGAGGCAAAAATAGCGTGGATGGCTGTAATTTTGTTTCTGTTCTGTTGCATTGACCTCTTTTACTTCTTAAGCCTCAGCTTGCTTGTTCTAATTGAAAAAAAAAAAGGGGGCGTTTTGGGGGTGTTCTGAGAGAGAGAGAGAGAGAGAGCAAGCGTTAGAAGGTCACAAACTGCACTGCAGTCCAATTCCCATTCTAACATTCCTTTGTTATCTTACATTCATCATTTGCTTGTGACTTCACATCAACCCTAATCCATGTTCTCATTTTCATGATTTCATCCTCACTTTCTCCCCCGCTAATGCAACTTCCTTTTCCCACACCAACATCACTTCGATTATTTATACACAACCGTACCAACTGTCCATTTCACCTCCTTTTTCCGCCCCCTCACAAAATTCTCTCTCGGTCTTTTCCACTAATACAAGCAAAGCAGGCTTAACCTTTTTATCTTTTGTTCTCTCGCTAATTTTTTCTTTTATATTTCCAGACCCAATTTTATTTTCTGGGTTCCTGTGCTCTCGTTGGGATCTGCTTCATAATGGGTTTCTCTCCTCCAGGAACAATCTGGATTGGCTCTTGTGAGTCTTCCAATGCTCCGTCTTCGTCCTATCTAGTTGCAGATCACTCCTGTGACTACAAGCTCAAATTTAGGACCATTCTGAGAAAAATGATCTGGAAGCTTGGCTTTGCCTGCGTTACCCTGCCTCGACGCCGGCCAATCTTGCGTAAAAACGACGGCGACGGATATAGAAAGACGAATCTAGAGCACAACAAGGCGTGGTTGCTTGCGGAGTCTGGTGGATGTGGAGCAGAAGCGACGAATGCTGACCCACAATCTGTTCACTCGTCTTTCCGTTTCAGTTTCTGTTCACAGGTTGAGCTCGAATCCTCGAGCATGCATTCTTCCGCTGCTGCAACCGTTTTGATGGTTAATCTGGACAATGGAATGCATAATTCTGGGGCTCGAGAGCAGAAATGGCGGAGGATGGAGACCTTGGAAAAAAGCATATCCCCTGTTGCCAACACTTTGATCAGGTTCAACTACGGTGAAATTATATGTGCTACTCGCAATTTCTCCAAAGGTAAAGTTGGTCGGTTGTTCTTGTTTTACTCGAATACTATTCCAGGCAGGAGATTGTAATTCAATTTCTTTTCTGTTTTTTTTGTACCCCGTTTTCTTGTTTTGGATAGGCAGGGTATTGGGGAGAGGGGCCTTGAGCTGTGTATTTAGGGGCAGAGTTGGGCTTTTGAGGACTGCTGTAGCTATCAAACGATTGGACAAGGAAGACAAGGAATCTGCAAAGGCGTTCGGTAGAGAACTGATGATTGCCAGTTCTCTTCATAACCCAAACGTTGTTCCGCTTGTGGGTTTTTGTATTGACCTGGAGGAGGGTTTATTTCTGGTGTACAAATATGTCTCCGGGGGCAGCCTAGAACATCATTTGCATGGTATTTCATCTCTCGTTGCCACTGAACCCTACTTTACGAGGTCTTTGGTTGAAATTTGACGATATTCACTTATTCAAGCATAACTATTTTGCAGAAAGGAAGTTTGTGAAGGGTAGTTCACCACTTCCCTGGTCTGTGAGGTATAAAGTTGCGATTGGAATTGCGGAAGCCATGGCTTATCTGCATAACGGAACTGAAAGATGCATTGTTCACAGAGACATTAAACCCTCAAACATTCTCCTTTCCTCTAAAAAGACACCCAAGGTGAGATGCATTATTGCAGATCAATTGCAGTCTAATAGCAAACCCGTGCATATGACGTATTTTGATGGTTTATCTTGTTAAATCACAGTTAGGCGATTTTGGATTAGCTACATGGACTTCTGCACCTTCAGTTCCTCTCCTCTGCAAAACAGTCAAGGGAACATTTGGGTAAACCTAAACCTCACCGGTTTTGTTCTGCCAAGTGCCTATCCTTTTTTTTCCCTTATTAATTGTTTTCATATACAAATCAATGAAATAAACTTTGTGCTTTTCCAACAGTTATTTGGCTCCTGAGTATTTCCAACATGGAAAAGTATCTGATAAGACTGATGTTTATGCTTTCGGAGTTGTTTTATTAGAACTCATAACTGGCCGGAAGCCAATAGAAGCAGAAAAGCCACCAGGAGAGGAGAACTTGGTCTTATGGGTGGGTTGATGTTCTAATTCTTGCAGAGTTGCCCTGGTTCCTGACTCTATGGTGGCTGAATTGATTCTTATTGTGACTTGTTCAGAAAAACCAAAATGTATTGAGCATAACTTTCTGCTGCTATCAAATAGTCCTGTCCATTAACTTTTTCTGAAGTAAGAATGCCTTTCAAATTAGTTTCTCGTTTCTAAATCAAACAGTGCACTATTTGATAAATGGAACTATCTTTTATAGAAAACTGGAAGTTGGCCTTTTATCTGGTACATAGATCAAAATTTATTGATAAAAACAATAGATTTCTAATGTGTATACCTAGCTAAGACAGTTTATTTTTTCATTATATGAGACATGATACAATGATTACTCTGGGAAAATTGTTTCCCCACCTTCAATGCTTGTTAACTGGAAATTAGATTAGAGACTTTGGATGTTGTGTTTGGCAAACAAGAAGTAAGAACCATGTGCTTTGAAACCAATGAAGAACTCAAGTATGTCTTTTGCAGTACTGAAAGTGAATTATGACTTTTCCTTCATAGTAGACAACTCCATACAATATTTGGGTAAATTTTGTGGTGGTAATTTCTGGGCCGCATTAAATTCGGCGCTTATGCAAAGCATAGTAAAAATGAAATGGGAAATTGTCTTGTTGACACATACACAACATGAAATTAATATTGCAGGCTAAACCCTTGTTACAGAAAGGGAAGGGAGCCATCGAAGAGTTGCTGGATCCTCAACTCAAGTGCAGTTTGAGATGCTCAAATCAGATGGCTCAGATGGTTGAAGCAGCAGCTGCTTGTGTTACAAATGAAGAATCTCGGAGACCTGGGATACAAGAGATTATTGCAATACTGAGAGGTCAAGAAGAGCGTGTCTTGCTTAAAAGGAAGAAGTCTGGTCTACTTGGGAATGGGTTGGGAGTTGATTGCTACCCTCAACTACAACAAACAAATAACGAGATGAGAAGACACTTGGCTCTGGCAATGCTAGGAGTTTCAGAGTTCGAGGATGATGAGTATCTATATGGTCGTTGAAAGTTTCAACTTGAAACACGACAAGCTTTTAACATAATTGGTTTTTTCCCTGGTTCAATGTGTTAGATGTGAAAATCTTGAAATTGTAAATAGAAAATGAAAACTTGTTTCGGGTGTAGATTACCTTGCGTCTACTTTACACGGTAAAAGAGTAGTGGGTTTTCATTCCAAGTTTATGGCGGCCGTTCAAGTCCTGTAAGTTATGGGCTTTCAAGATCAAGAATGCATGTTTTAGGCAAAAATGTGGACATAGATTTTGATTTGCAAATTATTGTGGCATCTTGTTTTGATAGGTAGAATGCCAGGCAGGCAAGCTGAAAATGCACCGTGCTGAACCGGATCATATACAAATGGTTTCCGATGAGAGAATCCTAAAGAGGAAACATGTATGATTGGAGAGCTTTTACATGATCGTATACAGAGACAAGACATGCACAAAAAAACAGCGAATTTGGTGTTGTTAATCCCGGTGACGCGAAACACTAGAGAAGAAACAAAGAAAAAATTGACATTAAGGGAAAAAAAAAAGTTAAAAAATCTTGGCAACATCCTTGACCAGGCCACGGTTGGCTCTGGCAAATTCTGTGAATTCCTCGTATGAAATGAAGCCATCTCCGTCGGTATCAATCTCGTCCATCATCGTTTGGATTTCCTCTGCGGTAATTTGCCCCAGTAATTTCAGGGATTCCGCGAGCTCTGCCGCTGAGATTTTGCCATCGCCATTTGTATCAAAACGCTTGAATATTCGATCTCTGTCAGCAACATCTTGAGGATCATCAGCCATAGTACAAATTATAAATGACAGTTTTTGCTTTCGGAGTTGACAGAGAAATGAGTGTAAGATTGGGGATCCGGGGGCTAATAAGGGGGGTTCCTTTGCTTTTTAAGGGTGGATGCCTATATGGTCATCCTTCAGCGTCGGAAAACTAACAATCAAGAACTAGTTTCCAAAATTAGTACCTATCGCTGTCCGTAGTTTTACTGAATTTAGTTAGGCTGCTAGAATTTCTTTCCCCTAATGATGACTCTATTTTCTCAAGCATAACTTCTCTCTGGAATATTTAGTTCACGCATTGTATTTTGAGAAAGAAAAAAAGAAAAAGAAGAAGAAGAAGAAGTTAGGCTGTTAGGGTTGAATTTGAGATTGCTTTTCTTTTTCTGTTTTTTTTTTTTTTTTTTGAAATTGCGAGGGTATCCATGTATTGGATGAACTTGGTTCACGCATGCTGCAGCCAAGGTGTGATAGGTATTTGTTACTAATTTTTTCTCTTTCTGAATAACTTAATGAAATTTACACATTCTTAACTAGATCCAGCCTTTTTAGTAAATCTTCTCCTCCGGCTCCAAAGTGATTTCCATTGGACTCTCGGCTCCAAATTTGTTACTAAGTAGTAGGTGTATATACATTCTGAATTCAGCGTGGGTTGATTAAAATCAAGGTCTCTTCTCCAACCGTTATTTCACTTGGAAGCCCTTCCGTTTAATTCATGGCACTGGCAGTGGAGGGTGTGGAAAGTAATTAGGATCGTGTGGTGGGTTGTTAGGATCCATTTTTTGCTTCCATTTCCCCTAACACAACCTTTTTTTTTGGCCAAACCTCTATCACTTTAGGAAAGATGATCTATCAAACTTTTGAATTTTGATGGAATGTTGGTTTCAATTATGAGATGAAAAAGTACGTTCATGTCCTTGTATATTTTAGCCTTATTGTATTATTTGATATATGCTATTTTTTTTTAAACTTATGATAGTTTCAACTCTAAACTTTTACTTATATGTTATCCCACCTTTTTTTTTTGACAAAAATATGTTATCCCACCTTTAAAACTATATATAAACATTTTTAAAAAATTAAAAATATTATAAACCTATGAAAATATTTCAATTTCCAAACATGTTATGTTTTATTGAGTGTTTATTTTATAGAAAACTTTAAATATTGGTAGACAATCGTCTCTACTATGACGTCAAAAAAAATTTTAAACATGTATAATTATAGTGTAAAGTAATTGAAAGTAATATATAAAATTTCAGGGTGCTTGACTACTATAAGTTAGTCAGGAGAGAATTGTTGGATTGGAAGGGGGCGTAGTACAAAAATTAAAACAAAATCTAAAAACCTTAATCGTGATCGTGGACCAATCAAATTCATTTAAGTTAAGGTGAATAGAAGTATCACTTTTTGGATGTTGAACCTTTTGAGCTTCCTTCAAGTGTTTAGATATCAAGAGATGACACCACATGAACAGCATGCTAGCGTTCCAAATGTCCGTCTGTTTCTTTAAATGTCAAACTTTTTTTCTCTAGAATATGTTCGTGGCTCTCAAAAGGTTTTGCTATTAAGAGTTTCTCTCTCTCATGAAGCACGTCCCTCTTTATATTATATATAGACTAGTAAAGTACCTGTGTAATATATGGGTTTTGTACTACAACTTTTATAAATAAGTGTTAATTTTGTAGGAATTTTTTTTAAAAAATAACTTGTAGCAGACACTTTCTTCATATCATTGTATATATAGTAGGGTTGTATAATTATTGTCTTTAATATTAAATATGCATATTAGTGTTAAGAAAATGGATGGTAAAAATTAAATGCATATAGTGTAAATGGATATGATGAGAAACAGGTTAACTATCAAATTATCAAAAATTTTCATATAAACAACATTAGAAATTCTATCCATGGATCAATCACCCTCATCAATAACTAATATTTTTAAACCCTCCTTTCTTTAAACACAAGAAATAGCAAAGTATAACTGGCCATGGATGAAAATAGGACAAAGTGGGTACAAATTGACATGGCACAGACTCTTATTAATGATCATTGCAAAGGCTAACATAATAAGAAATTGCTTCCTCATAGTAAATAGTAACCTGGAATCAGATGGACACATAGCAAAACATGGTATACATACTTCTATTCCTATAGTTGACCTAGACATTTTTGGGCCTCAATAACATATTTTTCAATTCGTAAAACTATGAGACATGTACATTTGTATAACCTCATAAACTTATCACTATTCTGCATTAAAATAATTAAGGCACTAACATTTGGCCTTATTTCATGAGTTGGGAGGCTTGTCATTGTAATTGAATTTTGAAATATCTATAGAGTGCAAGTCATTAAGTAAATTCATATTCCAACCATCTTTCACAACATTATAAGAACTCAAGTAAACAATTTTCTCTTTAGGGAGCAAGGACAACATGTACTTATTTATGTCTTCAATCACAACTAAAGTAGGGGTTATGATAGCTCTATTTTTAAAATATAAAGAATTATAGACATTGTTAAAGAAATTTAGAATATATGTTTATCACCATGGATTATCCTAATAGTTAGATCACGCAAATAAATATAAAATACAGCTTTAATCCTATCATGTCCTTTGGTCACACACTTGAAAATAGTCAAGAAAATATATCATGAAGAGCACTGATAGATGAATTTAAGAAGACATTCAATTGAAACACAACATAAACAAACTCCACATCATGCATGTTTATTCTTTCGTCTTCACATGTTTCACTATGTTTGATATAACTTTATCATCACTGCTATCCAAAGCAAATGCCATGCTACACAAATTCTTCACCTCAATTGAGTTATTGGTTGCATGATTACCCATATTTTCACATTTGTGGAAAAATCACCACCACTTGTTTAGTTTTGAACATGTTTTTAAGCTATTGACCTTTAAAATAGTGCCACTACCTATATTACCAACCTCTAATTATATTACCAACCTCTAATTATACATGTGAAACATTACATCCCAATATATAACTAAAGGCCTATAAAAGAAGAATGCATAAACGCAAAATAGTACAACACCAGCCAAGGTGCATAGACAAAATAGACTCGTTAATGTTATAAATGTTAATCAAAGCTGAAAGTGTGAAATGAAATAGATAGACCCATACCATTTATTTATAATTGGTATAATATCTATGTGAGAGGACACTTTGAATTAATCTATCAATAATATCAAATAACTAAATATTGAAATTTTAAGTTAGGAAAAATGATAATAAAATCCCTTTGAATTATATAAATGACATTTTAATCCCTCGAAATGTCATGATTCCCTCAAAGTCTCGAGGGACTTTTCTATCATTAAAAAATTAACATAAATGACCAAATTTTCTTTAATTCAAACTTACTTATTGTTGTTGAACTCTTGTGATTTTAAGAAGAAAATTTATGAATCTTGAAACAAAATTTGTGAATGACGATTAATATCTGAATTAAGGGAAATTTGATTATTTACATTAATTTCTTAATGACAAACAAGTCCCTAGAAACTTCAAGAGAATTATGACATTTTGAGAGACTAAAATGTTATTTATATAATTCAAAGAGATTTTGTTATTGCTTTTCCTTTAAGTTATTGTGCTAAAAATTAGAATTTAAAATTAAAGCCTTTTATTATCAATTACCTTATGTTGACCATTCAAAATGGTTGAATATATTGATTGATATTATTAACTTATCTTACTCAAATTATAGTATTTCAAAAATTTCAAATACTTCGAAAAGATATGATTAATTTTGGAAAAATTATTTTTCCAAAGATACACAACTTTGAGAATTTTTCACATATTTAATTGGCTATTTTTTCACTATTAACTTCTCTCGGATCAATATTTGAATTTCAAATTACAATATTTACTAATTAAATAAAATTATCAATTAACAAAAATTATCATTAAATCAATGAACACATTGTTTGATTAGCTAATATAAAAAACACTATTTAAACATATAATAGAAATAATATTATTTAATTGATACACTATATGATTAGAATCATTATTGTTAAATTCTTGTTTTGACACCTAAAAACATATATATTTGTAGTTGCACCTCTTCCTTCTATGTTGATTTGGAGACAAACTCTAGAAGATTTTAAAAAAACATAATGAGTACAAGTAAAATTGAAAATTTATTGTACTATCATGAGTGTAATGGCCTACTTACAAGTCTAACTATTATATAACAGTGGATGATTTTCACCTATTTTTTTTATCTTTCTCTCTTTACTACATAATATAATCCATATTGTATTTTATCAATCCCCATAGTCAATTTTTAAATGATTTTTCTTTTTGACTTTTAACCATAAAATAAACCCCATGTTTAGTCTCGTCCATTTATGAAAGTAATAAAAATAAAAAAAAATTACATCCAAGTCTTACACAATAAAATTAATTATCATAAGATCCATTAACAATTAAGCTAGTTGTTAATAAATCTTATTTTTTTTATGTAAGACTTTAACGCAATTTTTTCTAAAAATAATCCCTATTTAGTTAATATTAGGGGGAAAACACGTAGCGATTTCCCTTCAAATTAGTTTTGCTTATGGATAACACATGAGGTTATAAATTCAATTGGATAAATTATTATTATTCTGATTTTATATATATTGTAAATTGTTACAAGTTGTTTTCTTTTATGCAGACCTATATATGTAAGCAGGAAATTTCAAATACTACTCTATTTCTTAATTCTTATATGAATTTGTGCAATTAGTTTTAACATAGTAGATTTAAAAATATCTTTTTTTTCAACATACTTTAAAAATGAAATGCATGGAATTAGTTTTAATATAAGAATACTTAATTTTAAATATTTTATTTATAATTATTTTTTATTGACTATTTTATTTAGGATAACATATATATCACATATCTTATTTATTGACTATTAAAATTTTATTAACACATCTCTCTCCTCACAAATTTATGAAAATAGCAGGTAATATACCATTTAATCATAATTAGGATAATATTTATACTAAAAAATTTGAATTAAAATTAACAATTTTATCTAACCATTCTTTATTAACTTCTCCAGCTTAAAATTTAAATCTAAAGTCTTTTTATT